CTCTTTCTTTTCTCTCCTGTCATCTGGACTTTAACCTCATGGTGAGCAGCCATGGCCTGTCTCACTGCCTCACCCGAGATCAGGACCGCTTGGCATCGTGCCCCAGGCCCCTACTGCTTTCGCTCGCCTGCAGGGTCACTGCCAGTCGACCCTAATGACCACACCATCACCACCACATTCTCCTGTACCATCCTTGTCACTCCTCCTCAATCTTCTCCCTTTCTTCGTCCTGCATACATTCTTGCTTGCTTCTCCGCTTGGACTCGTAATTCTTACGACGCCTTGTTTCTGCCATGACGCACGCCGGCCACTGATCTCCCTTGTCAACGGCAGACGGCGTGTTTCACATTCCAACGAGGCCGCCGCCCGGTCCCGGCTCTAGCAGATCCCGCCCGCCTTTTCGCCAAAAATACTCGAAGCCTTCTGCACGCCTCCATGACTGATGCAAAAGCGTTGGCTGTGCTATTAGCAGTGGGTCTGCATCTCAATTGCACATGCTGACTCAACCCAGCCACAAGTCCAAGAGTCGAGACGCGATTTATTATACATTAGACTACCACGTACCCTACAAGAAATGCTTCATATCATACCCGTCTAATTCTAAATGTGCCCCATCAAAGTCTAGATGCTTCGTCGATGCTTCTCCCAAAACAAGTTCTATACCCCTCCCCGTATTACGGACTACCGCTCTTTTCCATATCCTTGACCTTGTCTTTGTCGACAAACGCCCTCTCTTGGTCCATGGCCCCATTCATGTCATAGGCCTCGATGAACCAGCTGCCAATCATAGCCACCGCACTGAACACCAGCATGACTATCCAGATGTACTTCAATGCGTCCGTATAGCTTTCCTTTAGTTGGTCCTTCATCTCTCCACCAGGCATCTCCTTGATGATGCGGACCAGTCCAGCTGCGTCCTGGGAATACTCGTCCGCGAATTCGGCCAGCAGTGGAAACGTCAGCATCTTCTTCTTCATCTGGTTCTGGAACACGACTCCGCCAATAGCTACTCCCAGTGTCTGGCCGAATGCGCGGAAAAAGGAAAACATGTTGGCAGCATACGCCTGGTCCGCTGCAGTCGCACTGGCTTGCACGGCCAATGCCATGGCAGGAAAACTAGGCAATCGTTAGGGCCCCTTGTTTCTCTTCGTCAACAGCTCTTACTTACAGGATACCTGTTCCTATACCACCAACGAGACTGATAAAGATCCATGCAGGAGTCGACGTGTCGACTTTGATTACTATCAGCACACCCATGCCCAGAGTAGCAAGGAACCACCCTGCCCGGTTGGCCCACCGGTACGTGCCCAGGATGGCAATAGCAATACCCGTCGCAATCGAAGCCGGAGCCACCGTAAACGTCCACGGAAACAAAGCAACCCCGGTAAGAATGGGCCCAAATCCCTTGACCGCTTCAAAGTACAGCGGTAGGTAGTATAGGATAGCCCACAAGATAATGCCGTGGATTACTGTGGCAGTATAGAGAATGGCAGCAGACCGGTTCTTGAAGACTGACGTGCGAATGAGCGGGTTGGCGGCCACAAATTCAATGTAAAGGACAAAGCCAACCATGCCAGCACCGCACACAATAAGCGGCACAAGCGTGCGCCACGAGTCCCACGGATACTGCACTCCGCCCCAGGTAACGGGAATTAAGAAGCCAGTGGTCGAGGCGAGGAAGAGTACCATGCCGATCCAATCCACCTCGCGGAGTTTGGTTAGGAAAGCCCCATGCTTCTGGTTGAGCTTGAGGAAGATGGTGATCATGGCAGCGCCAATGCCAATGAATGGGAGGTTGATCCAAAAGATCCATCGCCAACTAACGTTTTGTGAAAAGCCGCCGCCTAGTGTCGTTAGCTACTGACCTTTTGCATCTGCACTACATATTGCTTACCGAGAAGCGGTCCAGCTACTGTGCCAATCGACCACATGGCACCAAAGAAGCTAAGCCACTTTCCTCGCTCCCGCAGAGGCACAGTATCTACAACCACCATTTCTGTGAGACAAATGATACCTCCACCTCCGATACCTTGGATAGACCGCCCAACCAGAATGAGGGTGAAGTTGTCAGCCACAGCGGGGATAATGGACCCAACCAGGAAGAATCCAAGACTGATGTAAATCAATGCCTTTCTCCCAAAAATGTGCGAAAAGGATCCAATCACTGGCTGGAAGACGGTCGACGTCAATAGGAACGAAGTGCCGCTCCAGAACGCCTCGATAGCAGACCCCCCCAGTGCCCTGGCCATGATCTGGAGATTGTCAGCCATGACCTACTCTGTATCTTTCTAGATTGTGCAAAACTTACTGGAAGAGCAACGGAGATGGAAGTAGCATCCAACGCAGCCATTAGCGTTATGATACACAGACTACCAAAAGCAGCTAGAAAGCGCCATCCTGGCTGGAACTTTTCCACTTCTACTGTATCGACCTGCTCGGATGCCGCCTCGCTCACGGGTTCTGAGACAGGGGGCGCAGGCTTAACCACGTCCTCGGGCGGCTGTACCGACGTACTCGCCATGACTCTCGACTTTGAGCCTTGGTGGGAATAGGGAAGAGGGAATCCAAACTATAAATATAGAGTACGCACGATATCCTCATAGGCTAGAGGAGAGGAACACAAGAAGCCGCCGAAAAAATGATACCAAGTGCTGCCTACCCTCTTTACAAGAGTGAGAGCAGCCATCATACATATACATACACACTATCCATTCTACCACTCACCCGCTCTCCCTCTATCACAGGGCGTAAAGCCACAACACACACGCCCATCACTCGGGGCGGGCGCATAGTAAGACCACCCAGCCACGAGCGCACCCTCTCCTCGGCCCAATTTTGTCCTCCGCTCCATCCAAAAACCCACTACTTGCCCAGCTCACCACCTTAGTTCAGCCTCAAAGCTGCAACCTCCGTAGCGTATATGCCTTAGCGATGGCTCGTGCGCGGTGCCCTCTACAACCTAGCTGTACGCACCGCTCCTTTTCCATGCCGTCTGCCCGATTAACACTGCCCAATTGGCTTATCGCACCAATCTGGAAGAATTGGACACTCCGACCGTTGTGGTGTTTCGCCCAGTCATGACGTGGTGGCAGCCGCATTGCGCGCGCTAAAGAAAATGTGCGGCGTCGCCCTTTGCTGGCGAACCGGAGCGCTGTGAGACGGAGGGTTGTTTGCCCGACAGGGAAAGTCGGGGCGGGATGCGAGACCCCGACGGGGGCAGCCTTTGTCCGGTTTGTTATCGTTTCTGCCTGCGCCGATGGTGTTGTATCTACAGTACTACTAAATAAATTCTAGAAACAGGAAATCGATGATGCGTGGACGTTGCGAGGTTTCATGATGTTCCTCCAGGCTTTGTATCTATGCACGCAGCAACACCGCATAGCCCTACGCCATGCAACTCCCGCCTACATACACACACTTTTCCTCAGCAGAGCGCGCCAGAGGACCCATTCTAGCCCCCCACCCGCCCGATGTCTCAGAAGCAGCAAAAATGCAAACGGCGCAATGTCCGCTTGTACTGTATACAGCACGCCACATGGCTTACCGGGCGATATGAGAAAGCACACCAAGCGCATCTTTGTCATCGTTTCTGCACGTCAGAGTTCGAGACGTAGGGATAAGCAATAGTATGATCATGGCGTGGCTGAGAATTTGCTACTACTATCCACCCAGCTGAATAGTAGTAGGGTACACGTGGTTGTTACTACTACTTCCTGGTCGCTAAGCTAGCGAAACAGCCTCCCCATTCACCGCTTGGCCTGGATTTGTTCCCCATTTTCCTGATGCGTAAGTAGGTGGAATGAGCCAATTACACTCTCCCCCTTTCCTCCCGTTCTCACAGGTGAAAGTGGGGATTGGATGATAGTAGAGGGGTGTTTCACGTACCGAATCGCCATCTCGACCGATAATAAACCATCTGCCGTCTCCCGGCACTGAAACACACACCGGTACACACTACCATGTGGCTAAAACGGCCACTACCACCGGTTCCCCGCACACGTTACCTATACCTAACCTGCTTTTCTTGAGTAGGGCAAGTCTTACCATCGTCTCTGTGAAAACATCGCAGCGGGTTTCTTGCAAGACATGCCTCTTTGAACTGAGGGTGTCGTGTCAAAGGCTGAGAGACTTGCTCAAGCTTCGTTGTTCGAATGCCTTTTGACGGACCGTTCATGTTGCATTGCCTGTCATCTGATAATTGCTATGGCAAGTCAGCTTCCGCGGACTCCCAAAAGTTGACTGTATTTTCCAACATAGCCGGCTCTACATTCTACGTGTTTACGAATATTATTTGTACTATCGCCTGGGTACACTTCGTTATCGAGCTTAGTTTTGAAGTCATCGTCCTGTGTCAAGATGCGCAGGGGATTCTCGTGTCATGAATCGACTGCACGTTCTGCATGTTGAGTTGCTCAATTTTAATATGTGGCCAGCCCATTCGACCTGCTATGGTAAACGGTCAGCTCGTTGTTTTGGAGCCAGTGTGGAAGAATAATGCTTCAATTGACTGCTACTCGTCAGCACACTCGAGTAATAATCACATGACAAATCCTAACAGAATGCAATCATCTGCCTCCCAAAGATGCATATCTAAAAAAATTTAGCAACTCAAAAATTCTTACAAGTAAATTTAACATCCAACAAACTGTATACCATAAAAACTTCTGATGAGATTCTGAAATCGATCAGTGTTAAACATAAGGACGCGGACCAAGTGCTGGTGTCTTTTTCTAAATCACCCAGACGTATATGTTACTAATGTGCTCTGCCTTCTCCAAAATCACAGACCGTGACCGCTATATCCATGCGAGAAGAAAATATATAGTGTACACTACAGTGTAGTTTCTCGTCACCTGGCCACCGATTTTGACATCTTGCTTAACAAAAGCCGTAAACATCCAGGAACATGCATCACACCTGAATGTCAATCTCAGACCATGATGCAGTACCCAATCAACGTTGGTTCAAAGAACAATGCGCATCAATTCGCATTGGACGCACTACTGTCCAAACAAAGCAAGAAAGCCATTATACACCAGACTCCGATCCTTTTGCGTAATCGAACTCACATCTCCCGTCCCCGTCCAGTAAAACAAGCCCCCCAGCCCATTCTGGCGCACATAATTCGCCTTCATCCTAACCGTCTGCGGCGTATCATACGTAACCAACCCGCCATCGCCTCCAACACAATACGCCGCACCCAGCTGCTCATCGACATGCTCCTGGGCGCCAGGCCTTGGCAAGTCGCGATACTCAAACGTGCCTTCTTCGCCGGCCTGCCCCTCAAACGGATGCCCGATACCGCGGGTACCCGTGAAACTGCGGCCGTAGGCCGGGACGCCCATGACGATTTTGTGGCGGGGCACGCCCTGGTTGACCATGTAGGAGACGGCTGAGTGGCAGGAGATTGCGGCTTCGGGGCAGTGCGGCACGGGCGGGGTGAAGAGTTGAGCTTGGTGCCCGCATTTGCTGACCCAGGGTCCCGAGTAGTCGTATGCCATGAGGTTGACTAGGTCGAGGTATTGCGAGGCGTAGCCTAGGTTGATGTGCTGGAGGGCCCATTCGCCCGCGGGAAGGGCCGAGGATAGGGTGTATTGGGGTGCTGGGAGGTATTGTCGGATTGTGGCTAGGAGAGCGATGTAGTCTTGGCCTTGGCTGGCATCGGCCGGGTGCTCCCAGTCGACTGTAACGTGTGTGTTTTTAGTAATCTTGTTGTTATTGAGAAGGGGGGGGCGAACCAACTGTCAATTCCATCGATACCGAATTGCTGTACTAAAGCCAGGGATGACTGTGCAAAGCGCTCACGGCAAGCTGGGTCTCGAGCCACGCCCGCAAACGGCTCACTACCTTTGCCGCCACCACCGACCGAAAGCACTACCCGCAGTCTCGTATACTTCTTCTTAAGAAGTGCAAACGAGTTTAAACAACCCTTTGTTGCAGGGATGTCGTCGATGCCCGGAACATCAATCTGTGCATCCGCCCATTCATCGCTCAACTACACACAGGTCAATTTAGAAAACTCACCCATAAACAATAAATATAAATATAAACTTACGTATACTGTTCCATCCTCTTTAACCCTATTCATAACATTTAGCACTCAAACTTACCCGAGTATCTCCGGAAATACACCCAAACCTTACCATGCAAATGCATAAAAGACATGCGAAATGACGTCGTAGTTCAACGAGACGGGCGGCTGCTCGCGATAGATACGCCAGTTGGGATAGTATACGCCGTTCCAGTACATGGTTTGCAGCGGTGTGGAAAATGCAGTCGTGTGGTGATGGAGTGGGTGGTGGTTGAAGTAGTAGTCTCGGCTCATTGTTCGGTTCGTTTTCCGTTCAGGCTTTAAAGGCTTTAGCTTGCATGCAGCGTCAGGGTATGCTGCAGGTAAGAGAGAGAGGGACCCGTATTTGTTTTGCTTGGGGAAAAAGATCAAAGCTCTACGGGTATCGGAAGCTCCGCACAAATTTGTTTGGTAAAATGATATTGTGTATGTGTGAGTGAGGTATGGGTTTGCAGTATATGTGGGGGGTTGGGTACGTAATGGAAGACAGTAGGTATTCGTAGATGGTGTACTTTGGTGATGGAAATTGGCTAGGAAAATGGTTGGATGGCATGATTTTAAATGTTCTAAAGAGACCCTGGAGCGCTGTCTATATGGCCTTTGTATATACATGTCAAATGGAAGATAGCGGTATTACAGGCCGCTCAATGATGCAATGAACTGGTGGGTTGCGTTAGATATCAACGGACATGCCGCTTAGTCTGAAGCAGGTGATGTCTTAGCTGACGGACTTGCTATAGTTGCTTCTATTTCTGCAGTGCGATAGACGGTGAAGCCCAGTCTGGTACTTGAATAGACTGCGAACAAACCGATGGTGTTGGCTAAGATCTATGGATAGCGCGAGCCAGAGTCGCGCGACGTCGTAGGTCAGGCCACAATGTCCCAGAATACTGTGTTCTCGTGATTTGGACGCTGACGCACTAAGAAAACGGCTTGGAAAGTTTTAAATCTAACCGACTCGAATCTAATGTGTATTCGTAAGGAGTGGTGAGAGGGTATCATTGGTAGTATTGTACATCCAAGAGGAGTAACCAAGAAGCATCCGATGTCATGTCTAAAGATAGAGGGTGCACGCAATGGAAATGATAGACATATGTATGTCTGGGCACAGAAACACCTGATTACGAAGATGTTGATAAGGGTGCGCACACCTTTGTAGAAAGTGTCAGCAAGCCTCCAAAATCCGAGGTAGAAGCTGTGGCGCAATATAGGTGTGGGGTTCCAAGGCTGTGCCAGCTGCACTATTCGGTTCGACGGCACGCGCAAATTCTAGAAGTCGTTGATAGGTCAATGTGAGGGAAACACAAGACGCTAGAGTGAGACGGAAGCGCCGTGCAAGATCGATCGGGTAAGTTGCACAAGAGTTGCAGGTACATGGAAAAGGATGTTGGATGTTGTAACTACCCACTCGATGATCACGTGATTGCGCGCTCCGACGAACCGTTTGCGTCAGTCCGACTGCAACTACATACAGCTGTGCTCCAGCCACAAACACCAACCCCACATAACTACCGGGCCTACATTGAGGATTCGAAATCGCCTATTGCATCGCAGTTCTGTCGGCGCACAAGAAAGCACTCTACATCACAAACATATTACGCTATAGTGTCTCAATCGTGATCGGGTGCATCAGCTACCAGAGCGCAACGCGAGGCCACTTTCCCACGCGTTGCAACAAAGTGCACCAATAATGACAGAAGTCATGACATCCGTAGCGGCTCCCATGTCAGAAGAAAAGTCCGCCGAGGCCCGGCCGCCCCAATATACCTTCAAATTCAGCGAGTTTCTTAGACGTGAATATCGATTTGGCCTAAACCCCGATCGCCCAACCTGCAAAGCATACCTCCAAGGCCACTGTCCAGACGGCAGCAAATGCCCCAACAAGCACAATGTCTCTTCGTCCTACAACAAGTATGTTACCCAGTAGCCCAACTCATATTGAACATAAGTAGGCTAACCCCAACACCACAGTCTAGTATGCAAACACTGGCTCCGCGGCCTCTGCAAAAAAGGCGAAACCTGCGAATTCCTTCACGAATACAACCTCCGCCGCATGCCCGAATGCTCCTACTACGCACGCACACAAACCTGCTCAAACGGCGACGACTGCCTGTACCTGCACCTGGACCCCGATGCCAAGCGCCCTTCATGCCCACACTACGACCGCGGCTTCTGCCCCCTTGGCCCACACTGCGCGCTGAAGCACAACAAGAAAGACAAGCTGTGTCCCTTTTACCTGTGCGGGTTTTGTCCAGAGGGCAAGGGCTGCAAGTACGGTGCGCACCCGCGGTACCCCACTGATCTTAAGAAGCCAGAGGTGCGTGTGGAGAAGAGTGCTGAGGAGCTTGAGGCGGAGAAGTTGGAGCGCGAGAGGGAGATGATGAAGAGGGAAGAGGAGGAGAGGGAGAGGGATGAGAGGAATGGGCATCAGGGAGGGCGTGGGTTTAGGGGTAATTGGGATCGTAAGAAGCGTGGAGGACGACGGGGTAGGGGTGGTAGGGGTCGTGGAGAGTTTTAAGGCAGGCGCGCAAGTTTTTTTTTGGGAGGGGGAGGAAAGATATATGTCATTTATCTAGCGAGCGTTTCTTGCCTCGCTTTGTAGTAGTTTCGACATTTTTTTTTCATGTAGCGGAAGAGGAAACAGCTAAAAGAGTTTGGAAACGACGCGAAAGACATGGCAGCAACTCTTGTCAAAGAAAGATAAGATGCATTACCAAAAAAAATATCTAACCCTTTCAAACTTTCACACTCTAGTTACCTCCGTCTAAACTTGGACTTGCCCAAAACCGGTCTCTTAACCACACCCTCCCCCTCCTCACCCTTCTTAACCTTGCTCTCCATCCTAACCACCGGCCCCGCCTTCTCCTCCGCAACCCTACGCTCCTCTCTCTCCTTATCCTCCGCCATTTTCCTCTCCAACTCCGCCTTCTTGTTAAATTCCGTCTCGACGATGCGCTTATCGCGCGCCGAGTATCCCTTTTCCTTTATGGAGTAGAAGACTGCGCCGAGATCGGCTAGCCAGTGTGGATCGACAGAGGTGACGCAGGACATGTATTCTTTGGAGGTGAGGATGAGTTCGTGGTAGACGACGTAGTCGGGGAGGTATCCGAGGCCGTAGAGGGCGGAGGTGGGGTGGAGTTGGATGGTGACGGAGGTGCGGAGGTTGATGTATTCGCCTATGCCTTTTACTTTTGCGGCTTGGTGGTAGTAACCCGAGCAGATGCATTTGCGGATTACGTCCCAGTCTGTGCCACAGGATATTAGGGGCATTTTCTGTTTCCCCATTATGTCGAGGATTTGGTCGCGGATTTCTTTTGCGCGGCGTAGGGCCTTTGGGTGGAGGAAGTGCCGGATGCACCAGCCGTCCGAGTAGCCGTTTACTTTCCATTGTGTGTAGACGTGCAGGAGGGTGAGGTGGTCGGATTCTGGGACGAAGAACTTTTCGCGGGCCGCGTCGGATTCTTCTTGGCGTTCTTTGGGGCGGTAGAAGACTGAGGGGACGGAGAGCATGGCGACGATTGTGAGCATTTCTTCGCTGCATTCGTATTCGGTGGCGGTGATGATGAGTTTGGCGAGAGAGGGGTCCATAGGGAAGGCCGTCATGGTTCGGCCTAGGTCAGTGAGGTTGCCAATATTGTCGAGGGCGCCGAGGGCCCAGAGGTCAAAGAGTGAGGTTGTGATGGTGTCTTGAGGTGGAGGGTCCATGAAGTCAAAGTCTAGTAAATCCTTTACACCGAGAGATTTCAACAGTAGGACCGTGTTGGCAAGGTTCGTCCGCTGGATTTCAGGTATCGTTTGGATGTAGAACTCATCTCTGAACGCCCTTTCAGTGTATAGATGAAAGCATTTTCCGGGACCTGTGCGTCCAGCGCGACCAGCACGTTGTGAGGCGTTTGCTTGGGATATGGGCGTGATTTGTAGCGTGTCCATGCCCATCTTGGGGTTGTAAACTTTGAGTTTAGAAAATCCGGCGTCGACAACATACATGATACCATCAACAGTCAGACTCGTTTCAGCAATGTTGGTTGCTACGATGACTTTTCGTACACCTGGGGCTGCTCGCTCAAAAATCTTTGCTTGCAGGTCGGCAGGCATCTGACTGTAGATGGGAAGGATGCTCAGTTTCGGCGGGTCGTTCAAAAGTTTGAGTCGCTCTGCAACAAGTTCGCAGGTGATTTCAATATCCTCTTGACCCGTCATGAAGACTAGAATATCGCCAGGTCCTTGTGACACGTGAATAGCCAAGACTTGCTTCACAGCACTGTCGACGTAGTCCTCACACGGCGATCGCGAGTACTGAATGTCTACGGGGAATGTTCGTCCTGGGATGATGAACTCTGGCGCGCCTCCGTAGAAGCGCGAGAATCGATCCGCATTCATGGTGGCCGAAGTGACGATTAGCTTAAGATCTCGTCTTCGAGCCAGTACCTTTTTGAGAAGGCCCATCAACACATCAGTATTAAGGGCTCTCTCGTGCGCTTCGTCCATGATGATGCAAGAGTACTTGTCTAGGTCAGGCTCAACCAGGGATTCTCGGAGCAAGACACCATCAGTCATGTATTTGATCTTGGTTTCTTTGCTAGTGCAGTCTTCGAAACGAATCGCATAACCAACCAAACCACCCAGCTTGACCTCCATTTCTTCGCTCACACGCTTCGCCACACTCATGGCTGCGACACGACGTGGTTGCGTGCAGCCAATAAGCCCGTTTTTGGCATAACCATCTTCGTAGAGGAACTGAGTCAGCTGGGTAGTTTTTCCAGAACCCGTTTGACCGACGACAATGATTACTTGGTTGTCTCGAATCACACGGAGTAAATCTTCTCGGACAGCAAATGCTGGGAGATATTGTCTCTGTTCTCGAAGTGTCTTGCTTTTACTGAAAGCGCTTGCACCTTCCTGCTTGCTCAGGTGCTGTGCAAACTTACTGCCACCCTGCTTCTCCTCTTCGTCAGGACCGGGCGCAGCACTGTCTGTGTCCTCCTCCTTGATGCCCATGATATTGCCCAGTGTGGTTCCTTTTGCGCTAGTGGCTTCCTGCGTCTGCTTTGCCCGCTCTTTCTGTTGCCGCTTTTCCTTGACCACGCGACTGCCGCGCCGACTGAAGACTGCCATGTCACTCTGAGGATCTCGTACTGCTGGAACTGGGTCGATTTGCTTGGTGAAGACAGTCTTTCCGTCCAGAAAGGGCGGCCTGAGCTCGTGTACAAGGATATGTACGCGCATGCTCTCTTCATCGTCGTCAAAGTCATCAT